TCATGAGAAAAGCATTGGTCCCATTCTGATACATAGGCTTCTTCTGCCTTCTGGGAGCTGTCAACCACACCTGACTTTTCTTTTAGAAAAGTACCCTTTTGTCCAGGGGCAGATCTTTAATAAAGGGGTGAGGCACATCATCCCTTAGACCATGAAGTGGGATGGGGGCATGGTGTGGTTGGAGCCCCTGAGTCAGTGGGGGATGCTGAGGGTGGGGCAGGGAGGTACAGGATGGAAGGACCTGCTCCCTGCTGTTGCTGTCCTTGGCTGGCCAGGGTACATATGGGAGCTGCACTGCTACTCTTCTTAGCTCAGGGGACCAGATAGGATCCAGGAAACAGCTGGGCAGGGTTAATTCTTCCTGTGTCTGTTCTTGCTTACCCCCTGTGTCCTTTGGGGTCTGGTAGTAGATGCTGGAAGGAGGACAGTGCTTTCCCTTATCCCATGGCTGTCCCTGGCCGGGTCTCGCACACCATGCAGTTGCTTAGTGAATCTGACTAGAGTGGGGCAGGAGTGGCTCTGGGCTTCCCCTATGCCTGCGCCAGTCAGAGACAGTGATAGTGGGGTGGAGAGATGGGGGAGGATTTCCTCTTCTTGCACCTTCTTCTGGGTAGTAGGGACAGTGGGGGAGGGGGAGCAGGGAGCAGGTACAGGAAGAGGAAACCTGCCTGCTGTTGCTGCTGTCCCCAGCCAAGCTTGGCACCCTGTGTAGCCATTCACTGATGCTCTGGGGCTCCCCTCATACCCAGGACAGCTGTGGTAGTGCGTGGGCCCTGCCTTCCTTTGCCTACTTCCTGCTCAAAGCCCTGGTGTCCTCTGCCAGCCCAGGGGCTCCAGCTGCAGGGTGCTGGGCTTGAGTGGAGCCAGCAGTGGCAGAAGCAGGGTAAAACAGCACTACTGCACCCCCTGGGATCTGCCTTAGCTTTTGTCTGTTTGTTCTTCATGGATACACAAGGATTTGCATTTAACAAATGTGGGCTTTGACTCAGCCGCAAGAAGGATATATTGCAGCCTTCAGAGAGAAACCTGTCCTTCATGTTGCTTGTGTAGCTAGTTCTCCCCTGTGCAATTGTCTGTAGCTCAATCATGATTTTCATTTGTGCTGAATCCTTTAGCGAAAGCTGGGGAAGATGAAGAAGCACGCAAGCACAAGTCCTATTCACCACAGAAATCTGGACTGAGAGGACAAGTCTATATGGTGCAAGGCAGTGCTGTGCTGAGACATGTCACGTTTGCTCTAGCTCCCAAGCTTAAAGTAGGCTAGCCTCACTTGTATGGTGCTGTGGGCAGATGGATTAACTGTGCTTAGCCTTGTGGATTAACCAGGGTGCCATGGTGTGCTAACATGACTATCCTGTCTGCAGTTCCAGAGCCAGAAGATGCTCAGGTAGTATGGCTTGCTCCAGCACAGCACTGCCCAGATGGTCAGCTCAGCTGCAGTGCTAAAAAAGTTGGTCTAACTACCCCTTGGGTGCTTTCAGCACTCTGTGACCAGCATGTGACAGATATAATATTTTAACAAACAAAAAAATTAAAGAACAATGGATGCATTCTAGGAAGACAATGATTTTGTCTCCTTAGTGACTTCCATTGTGTCAGGGTCAGGCCAGAGTGGGGGGCATGGTATCTGGCTTGTATCTAGCTTGTATTTTTGGTGCAGGATTGTGCCTACTTTATTCCAGCTGCCAAGGCCAAAGGATGGTGTAACAGGGAGCCAGTCACTGGGCAAGTAAATAAGTGGGGGAGATAAAACATGCTAGCCAGACAGCAGGCAGTAGGGAGGCAGAAAGGAGCCACTAATTACTCCATAATCAAGAAGACCGTCACTTAGGGCTGGGAAGAGTGAGATAAGGGCTTTCTCAGAAGCAAGGGAGGTGCAGAGGAGCAGAAAGCACAGCGTTGCACAGCTGTGGGAGAAAGCCCTGTGAAGGAACAGAGCCCTCTGGCAAGGAGGGGAAAGAGAAACAGTGTGCTGAGGCACCGTGGTTGGGGGTTGGACTTCTGGGAACCAGGTAGTTAGAAGCTCAGGTTGGGTTACCCAGGTGGGCTTCATTTGCCCTACTAGACTAGCTAGTTTTACTGCTGGCTGTAGGACTGCCCAAACCAGGGCTGTATGAATTAGAGACAGTGTACCTTTTTTCTCTTGCACCCTGAGGTGGGATGTGTTGTGTTAAGGCAGGGGCCAGACTGGAAAAGGGAGGTTTGGAGGTCCCAGTAGTGCTGGTGGGTCACAGAAAGGCTTGAGCCTGCTGGGGCATGAACCCAAGCTACAGAAATAGCCAGAGGAGGCAGGAACCAAGGTGAGAGACCCCACGCCTGAGAGTATCAGAGACCAGGCCAGGGCCCAGTGCCTGAGAGAGACAGGACCTGAAGATAAAAGGGACGGAAGAAGCAAGAGATTGAACTTGGGGCTGACAGCCCATTGAAAAGATGGAGTATTGGCACCTGTGAGGCATGGGCATTGCTGCAGGGGCAGTCAGAGGCCGTGAATACAACCTTTAAGGCATTGAGAGTTAAAATAAGAAGAGAGTGGTAGGGCCTAGACTCGTGAGTCCTCTGGGGTTCTGGGCAGCCTCCGAGCATTTTTCAGAAACAGCAAAGGTGTGGCAGGAGAGTGAGGGAGGAGGGGACCAGGGAGGCAGGAGTGGAGGACCAGAGGAGGGTGTTAATAATAAAACACCCAACCTCATCCTGCTACAGACGATGCTTGGCTGAGATGAGAGATCCTACTCTCTGTGTTCCTAGAAATAACTTGGATGGCAAACAAAGATTACTAAACTATTCATGGCCTAAAATGGGCTGCAGATCTCTGGCTGGTCTTGTAAAATTCTCCTTGCTAAATTTTGGAACATGTTTTCCTGTGCTTTCTCCAGGCTGCCTCTCACACTTGGGAGAGGCTCCCCTGACACCCCAAAGCCACCTTCTTGTCCTCTTTCATGGCCCTCCTTGGCAGCAATACCTTCAAGAAACTTGACGGCCATGGAACTGCTGGGTGCCAAGAACACTGCCCTCCTTGCTGGCCAGGATTTGTGCTGACTGCCCTGCAGCTGGGAGCCTGCTGAAACCTGTGGAGCGGCTGGGAAAGCTTGGATGCTGAGGGACAGGGCAGGACAAAGGATTCAGAGCCAGGGGAAAGGGCAGTGCTGGGCTGAAGCATTTGGGGTTGAAAGCTGTGAGGGTCCCAGGTCATGGGGACTGGGGCTGTTGAGTGAAGGACCTGGCAGGCAGTGAGGACAGAGCATGAGCTTGGGGACAGGGCCTGTAGTAGGGCCATATGGTAAGAGAGTGCAGGGATGTGCTGGGGTCCCCTGAGGCCTTGTGGGCCTGCTGCTGCACTTTCCCAGGCTCTGAGAATTTTGGCTGCAGTCCGGAGGCAACACAGCTCGTCATTATCTATGAAGTACTCTGCTTGCTATTCCCCCTCTCTCCCCTCTCCCTTTTCAGTTTAACCCTTAGGTCCCCAGCATTTCCTTGGATGTCTTCTGCTGAACATGTTGGCTGGCTGGAGCGTACATTCTCCAACCCCCCAACATGCAAAGACACCCTTTTTCTCTCCTGTCTCCCACCTCTATGTTCATCTCCCAGACCTGCTGCTCTGGGGCAGCCTGCAGCTGAATACTGTGAATATGCCACAGTGAACAATGTGTGGTTCTTCCTTTCCATGGCCAGCAGCTCCTCCTGCCTGATGGGGCAGTTGCTTCATGGTGTCCTCCTCCCTTCTACTGCTTCCCAGAGATGACCAGGTGACCCAAAGAACCCCAAATGGCATCCAGCTCTCCCAAGGCTGGGTTTTTAAAGAACCCCTGGAACACGAGGTGCATTGAATTGTACTTCTCCACAACATGAGTCGCCTGAGAGAGAGTCTCTCATGATGTTGTCTTCAGGATTCAGGGAAGCTGTGGGCTTTCCTCCACCTTTAGTGCTGGGCCCTTGGAGTTAGGTACCAAACTCCCTGCCTAGACCCCTTTAGTGAAAAATGGCTTGATTAGCAGACCACTTACCCCAAATCCAAGGGAGTTGCAAGTGCCCTGCAGACTCCTCTGGGCATCAAGTGATCAGTTGTAGATGCCTCAGCTGAAGAAAGCCCTGTGTTTGCCAGTCTTGGCCCTTACCCTATTGCCCTGCCTGAGTGCTGGCTTGTTCACTCTTCACAGGCTGAAACACATGTTACAGACACTGCGAAGACAGCTAGAGTGTCTCAAAGAATAAAGCACCTTGCACAGCCTCGGGTTCGGAAGGACTCATGGTGCTATGATCGGGGCCATCCTGAAGCTGTCATCTGGCCGGTAAGGCGGCGTGGCCACATTCTCTTGATACATGATGGCCTTCTCAGATGTGCCATCCTTCCTTCTGAAGAGACTCCTCTCTTCACTTTCCCTTGGACTGCAAACCACACTGTGTACATACAGACTGCACACGAGCTCCTGTGCCACGGTATTGTTGCCATCTAGTGCACATAGGGCCAGCTGCATCTGGGCAAGAAGTCCATGGAGGACTGCATCCCTTGACCAGTTTGGAGCTGCCCTGGGCATAGTGTACAGTGTTCAGATATGTGGGGATGGGCAATGCATGAGAGCAAAGCAGACAGGCAAGAGGTCTCTGGTGTGTGGTAGCCAGTGAACTGGCTGGATGAGGGCAGAGCTGGACAGCTGCCCACCATACAGATCCTCCTACTTGTAGTCCCTAGCTTTTGACCTCTGGATCCCTGCCCTTAGCTCTGCACAGGGCTGTTCTTAAAGCCCCTGGGGGACAACAGCTAGAGCAGCATGCTTCATCCAGTGGCACATCTCACCATGAGCACATGCCCTTGCTGCTGCCCCAGCTGCGTTTGCCATCCCAAGATTCTCAGTGCAGCACATTGCTGGCTGAGGGGCACAGCAATGTGCTCACTCTACCGTGATGGAGATGTGGCCATTCCTGGGATGCAGCTTATGGGAGCTCTCTGGATTCCTCACCCAGGTGTCCAAGTCTGCTCAGCAAGCCACGGCCAGCTCTAGAACATCAGAGCTGGCTAAAGCGAAACAGGTGTCTCCCAAGTATCTGCCAGTCCGGGATGCTGAATGGCCAGTGTCAAAAGCAGCTAAGCACACTTCTGCGACTCCTAGGACTGTGGAGCTGTCGAAGCCTTCCAAGAGGTATGTGCTCCCCTTGGAGGGCTTGCAGGGGCCATGAAGGGAAGAGGTGACAGGCTGTCCAGTGGTGGCAGATGTGCACAAAGAGTTTGTCTTGCCCATCTTTCCTGTGCTTCATTGGCTGGTTCTAGGACCATGTCATATCAAATCTGAGTCAATTCTGTAGAAACTCCATAGCTAGTTGCACTGTTGAACAGCTGCCAGTCCATCTCAGAGGTGCATTCATTTCTGTACTGGAAGAAGGGGGTTTTGTGTGTATGTGTGTGTGAGAAGTGCTTTGAGATGGAAAGTGTGATCTATAAAGAACATGGGAAGCCACCATAAAATGAGTGACTTTGGCACACTAGTTAACAGTGAATAAAAAAGTTAAGTGAATGCTTCCCACAATGCCCCGTCTCTTTATTTTGTCAAATGTAGTTGAGTTTTAATAATCTCTGGCAATGCATCACAGGTCACGAGGGAATGTTCTGAGGTATATTTTGCAATAATGATGACTGCTTAATACCATGGGAATGCCCAAGAGCATCCACTGTGAAATCCCAGCTGGAAGATGAGGGGAGGCTGCTGGGGGTTTGTATAGAATATAAGGCATGTGGTCTGGTGAGGTTCCCCTGAGAGTGTAAGGTATAATTGTTTTAGCTCTATTTTCAGAACCTAGTCTCCAGTTGTTAAAATAATTAGGCAGTTCCCAGAACTCTCTCAGCTCCAGTTCATACCTTTAACTTGTCTCTTTCTCTGTTTTTTCATCATTCCAGGCCCCCTATGAATGTTGCTCAGTTCAATCCAGATGCGTTTACAGTAAAGGAGTCTGCCAAGAAGGCATTTTGTTCCAGTCGAATTCTAGAGCTCGCCCACCCCATTGAGCGCTGAACCTTTGGACTCCACATGGCACTACCCTTCCTTAACCCCTAAGAGACTTGTGGCTTTCCCACAAGTTGGTCCCTTCCCTGGTGTGTTTGATTATAGGCTGTAGGTAGAGTGTAGACTTGGCAGGAGGGTATGTGAACAAAAACGAGGGAAAACTCCTCTTGCAGCTCAACTGCTGCTTTTAAATCCTTCCCAAATCCCCAATAAAACTGTGCGCAAAATAAGATCTCAGTAACTTTTTGCATTATTAGGGCTGTGGTAAGTTCCTCTATAAGAAGCATCTTTTCTTCTCGCACCTGCTGAGCAACGTTCCTGGATCTACCTACTTCATTGTCACTTAATTCACTACTTTCATGACTTCATTCAGTTTAGTTATTTTGTCCAGTGGTGTATTCAAACAGACATTTTTCAGATGAGTTTCCAGGTAAATCAGACTTGGTGCAGGGAGTCTAAGGATAAGAGGGCTTTAAATGTGGGGTTGGCGGTGGGAAGCAGGACTTGAGTAGTGTGCACAGTAGCTCTGCTCCTGTGCTTTGCAATGCAATGGGTGCATCTCCATGTGTGGTGGACTGCGTAACTGTTACTGTGCCATCATTTAGTATTTGCTGAAGCAAGTACTAAATGACTGCATAGTAACCAGTGTTACTGTGCTGTCCTGTTGCTGCATGGTTATTTTTAGCTGCTACTGTGCAGTAACGTCAGCATCAAAGTTCATGCCCGGCAATGCTACGTCACCGTAGCAATGAGCTACGACTCAGTAGCTCATTGCTACAGGAATGTAGCATCTTGTGTAGACACCCCCTCTGTGGTGATGTGAAGAAGCATCCCAGATCTGTAATGACCAACTCAGTCTCCCATGAAAGGGATGGTATTCAGCATACTGTAAGCGAATAAATATCCAGCACTCATGCTAGCAGCCAGTCTGCATCCTTTTTGAGATGGGGAAGGAATGGCTTTGTCTGCCAGTGGGGAATAGCTGGGATTCCACTGCCGCGTGCCCCAGAGCAAGGTTTATGTTGCAGTGAGGCCTTTGGCTTTGTCACAGCATTAAGTCTCCATTCTTGTGGCTGACATCTGAAAGCTTACACAGGCTCTTGCCATAGCACCAGGTTAACACAATGTGTATGAGCCTTTATGAATGTCATCAGCATAATTGTCACATCTCAGCCGGGATTGGATTCAGCTAAACAAAAGAAATAGCAGCAAGGTCATACACAATTGCTTTCCATTTTTGACAAGGGACATACATGGGCTCAGAGCAGCAGAAAGCAGGTGGTCTCCCACCTCAATGGATGTCCTAGCTTCTAAACAAGAGCAAGGGGCCACTCCCAGCCACACTCTCTGCCCAGGCTCCTTTCCTCTCCAGATAACTTCCTCAGAGCCAGATACTTCCATCACGCCTGTTGCTCCTTTCAAGAGGCTGCCGGTCATTTTCCCCATGCCTTCCCTTTGGCTGATGTGGAGGGGGCCGTTCCCTGGTCCTCTCTGACCCTGGGTTCCCTGTAGGGTCTCTTACCCCTTTGTCAGATTTCTCTGAGCAGAGGAACTTGGACATCCCCCTCCACAACTCTGGGACTCTTCAGAGAGTCCTGGTCTCTGTTCCTGAGGAAGAGCCAGCCTGCCCATTTGGTCACAAAGCCCATACATATATATAACAGGTCAGAAGAAAAGACTGTAAAGAAAAAGTTAACCCTAAAGCTAACACACAGAAACAAACATCTCAACGTGTTTTTTGCAAATGGAACTGAAGGAACCAATACTCTAATCCTTCCAGTCCTTGGAGATGGCCAGTGATTATTTTAAAGAAGGGTGGGTTCAAAGTGAAGAAAGGCACTGAACTGTCATAGTGAATACCATGGGCCATGGATGGAAAAAGCAAGGCTGTAGTGGTGAGAACCAGGTACTCTGATATCTAGTCTTCATAAAACTGTGACAAGACATGCACATGTGAACAGGACACATATGGTCAGTTCAACTAAAATATTCTTTATTAACTCATCAGAAAAAATAGTCCTTTTCATTCCATGATACCTAATAGACTCATTTAAGACAAATTCAAGGGCTCTCAGCATGATTTATATGCGGTGTATTCACTCAGTTCTCCATTACAGCAGTGTTAGATTCCTGTCCACAGTGTAGCCCAAGGTCACTATAAGAGCACAGCTGGTGTTCTGAGAGCTGGGAGCTGAGCATGCTCAGTCCAGCACGAAGTTTGCATCTGGGGATCATCAGAAAAGGAAATATTTTTTCTTTCTCTAACTCTGCCCTTTCTTGGTTAGCTTTGCTAGGAGCTCCGGGCAAGGTCAGGAGCTCCACTCTGCTGCTCTAGTCAGCAGAGTGTGTAGCTGTTCTCCTTTGAGCTATTGTGTGATACATTTCAAAAGCTGCATAACATTTGAGATAATTATTCTTTCCTGGTTATGTACACATTAAATAAAAAATAATAATGTTAAATAGCAAGATGTAACTTTGGCCTGTCAAATCTATTGTGAAAAGAAATTCCCCAAATCTTTGCTAAATGCCAAATTCCTGATTCCTGGTTGTCTCCAGTGAGGGGTCTGCTGGCTAGTCTCTGACTGAGCCACACTCGGAGGGGAGCCCTTCAGATCTTCTCCACTCTGCAAGACGCTGCTTGAACCATTTCTAGGGAAAACAGAAATGCATGAGGGTGAATGTGCTGCTGAAACAGGGAATGAGGCACTCAGCAACTCTCTTCAACTGCAATCAGTCTGTTCCATTTCAGTTACTCACAGAATAACATTTCCAAATGTTACTTAAATGATTTAGGAGCCCAAAGTTTACCGCATATCAGTGAGAGTGAGACTCCTAAATCAGTGAAGTGATTTGGAAAATTTTACCTGTAGTCTTACACAGTGGCTTTTAAAAGAATGAGTCAGTCAGTGGCAGTAGGATCTGGTTTTCCAGCAGCCTTATCTCACAGCAGTGAGATCTCTCATTTGATGGGAGAAACAGAGAGAGAGAATGAAAGATGTTATTTTGATGCAGCATGGTGCAACAGAGTGGTGCAGTTGTGTGCTCCTAGCCAGCGTGTAAATGAGAGACTGGGCAGTAAGGCATGTACAGCATGAATGAATATAAGTCTTTGGATGTGTAAAGCATGAACAAATGCTTTTAAGGACAGGGACTATAGCCTGCACGCTGCCAGAGCTCTAAGGGATGGGAGCAGTGTTTGCGATTCTCTGAGCAGGATAATGGTGCTTGGTCAATAATAATGAGGAGTTCTTGTGTGTGTGCTTAGAAAAGGAAAGGCTGCAGTCATTAGTGTCACTACACTAATACTTCACTTTCAATTTGTTCAAGAAAGTGACCTTTTTTTTCTTTTTCTTTTTTTTTACAAATGTCCTTTTTTATAGGAGTATTTCTGGTTTAGGTGAAGACAAGTCAGACTGCCCAGGGAAGAGCAGTCTACTTTTTATTTTTGCTAGCAGTTCTATGTCGAATCAACACTTCATAAAGGAAGAAGCAACAGTTTTGTAAGCCACTGTGCATCTCAAATGGTCCACTGCATGGCATTGCCTCTCGTCATTATCTGCACGATCCTTTCAGCCAGGAAAAGAGCTCTACCAAGACTGAACCGAGGCACCTCAGTTTGTTCTGTGAGGGTGTCTTTGACTGAAATCAGCATGGAGAGAATCTGATGTGATTTGCTTTTTGCTCAGCTTTTCCAGAGCAGCCTGGAACAAGCAGGGTAGTGCAGTATTGGTCACAACAGCAAGCGAGCCCTCCCCATCATAGTATTACTTTCCTACATCAGTGATGGTTCTTATTTCCACTGCACTCAGGGTAAGATGAAGGGGGAGAAAAGTTGTGGAGAACAAACAAGCCGGCACAGTAAAGGGGATGGATAGCATGCTAGCATCCCTTATACATTTACAAAGGGCAGGTTGGGGTGAGGGGGGAGTGTGTCTCATTGCAGCTTTTTCACTAACTGCAGCATTACTCCTGATTTACAGTAAAGTAAATGAGATCAGAATTGGGAACATTCAATTTCACATCCTGGTCATTGGCTGCAAAATTTCTTCTGGGCTGGGTATTACTTATATTCAGCTTCAGGAATTTGCAGGAAGAAAGCTGCTGAGTGGGAAGGGAGGAGTGGGTGCTGAGCTGTTCCTTCCTCTGCATATACTTCAGCCTGTGCTGCATGATCCATGTCAGGGCTTGTGGCCCCCAATTGCTGTACTAGCCAAGTGACTCCCAAGATGTTAAGAATGGAAATATCAATCACAATCTCCCTTCCCCAGTTTGTGTGACGAACAGGTTGATCAGTGTGCTGAGGCTTTGTCTGTGAACGGGTGGATGTGTGTGTGTGTGGACTGCAGAGCCCCAGGGTGACGTGTCTGCAATAAGACCTATGGGTGCTGAACAGACAGGCTGCTATATGGTGCTCAGGCTGCAGCCGTCTTGGGGATGGCAGCATCCCTTGATATAATGAGCTGCATTAATGCACCTTAAAGTTCATCAGTGCACTGATCACTGTGGGGCCAGGTCTGTGTTATAGGATGAGGAAACACCTCCAGGCTGTCACAGGGGAAAAGGTGTGAGACTGGCTGCTCTGGTTGTGTGGGCACCCTGGAAGGCAGAGCAATTCAGAAGGACCACTCAGACCTGGAGGGCAGGACTTTCTCTTTGCTTAACTTCTCCCGTCATACTGGAAGGGAACCAGGGGCCCATCTGGTCTGGGCTTCAACCTCGGCTCAGTGCTGGAGGCTCTAGAAGAAGGTGTGCTGCAGCAACTTGTGTGGTGTGTGGTGGGATGAAATATCCTCTCAGACCGCAGCAGGTGCCAAGTGCTTCGGGGAGAGGAGTGAATCTCACTGGGCAGCTGCCCCTGTGGTCAGCCCCTCCTCACAGATGCAGCTGCTTTTCCACCACTGACCTACTGTTCAGTTGTGTTCCCTGCTTCTCATTGTCCTCAGAAGCCATTTCCTCAGGCCAGCAAAACTCTACATCATAACACACTTCCATTATTTTTATTTCAGGCGCATTGCTGCTTAATTTGCCCTGCAATCCCTGGTGCTAATGTATGTACTCCTGCAGGGAATGAAGGAATCAGAGCTGGCAGTGCCCAAGGTAATCCACCAATGACCGTGTGTGTGTGTGTGCATCTGAGTGCGTGTCACTGCGCACATACAGACCCCCATGAGCAGTCTGCAGTTCATGCCCCCAGTAAAGACCCTGACAGAAGTTTGGCAGTTTGAAATGGATTCCAGGACATCTTTGACCCATTTCAGCAAGTCCAAAAAAGCCCAGAGAAAATTCAAAGGATGTTCATGGGCTGATTTAAGGGGACAGAAATGTGGAGATGGAGTGCTGACCAAGCAGCGAGCTGAGGCTGGGTGAGGTGAGATTTCAGAGGATTGCTATAAACTGTAATGGCCTGGATTAGGATTGCAGAGGCAGGGACATAGGGCTGCTACTGGGAAATTCATCAACAGAGGAGCAGTGATGGCTGAGACTGGGTTGCAAGCAATAGCCTGGAGGGGAAGTGACCGCTCTTCAGTCTCACCAGGAGAAAGAGAGGCTTGAAAAACAGAGAGGGGGAGAAAGCAAGCAAGTGAACAAGATAGACAGACAAACCAGATGCTAGCATAAGAGAGAAAAGGAGAAAGGCGAGAAGGCTTGTGGGTTGGGAAGGGGCAGCTCTGGAGTGGCAGGGAAGGGCGAGGGCATTATGGAAGTATGCGTTGAGGCTGTGGGTGAGCTGTTGTCTCTGGGGTGGGTAGGGAAGGGTGTGGTAAGGAGAAGGGCAAGGCTGGAGCAACATGGTGGATTATGGTAGAGAGGGACAGTGGGGGCTTATTGGTGCCTGAGGTGCAAGGTAGAGGTTACAAGGGTGTGGGATGGGTGTAAGGTTGTGGGCTTTTGAGGCTATGGGGCTTGGGTCAGTAGGGTGAAGGGAGGCGGGGAACCTGAGGGGAGTTGCAGGAGTGGGGTTTTGGGGTGAGATTAGAGGGCAGTGTGCCATGGGGTGCAGGGCTCTTGGCAGGTGGGGTTAGGGGGATGCAGAAGTGGGGGCAGTGTGAGGAGCAGGTTGTGGGGTGCACAGGTGGGTTTGACATTGCAGAAGGGGGCAGGCTACGATGGGGTTCGGGTTAAGAGGTGTGGAGAGCAGCAGGGGACTGCAGAAAGCTGTGGAATCAGGAGCAGGTCATGGAGTTTGCGAGTTGTGAGCATGGGGTGAAGCAAGGAGAAGTGTTATGGGCTGTGTGCTAGGGACCAGGCTTATAGGGCTAATGAGGCTATGGGAGTTTGAAGGTGGGGGACAGGGTTGTGTGTGGGGGTGGGGTTGTAGGTGCTATGGGGCAGGATGGTGGGGGCTGGCAGGCAGGGCTGTATGGCTCAGACTGGGGTTGCTCACTCACCAGAGTCTCTTCCTCAGACAGGCCTGTCTCAGCGGCAATGAGGCACAGGGTGGTGGGGTCAGGATGCTTGTTCACCTTGCTGAAGTTGTACTCCAGGATTTCCAGCTGCTCTGCTGTGAGGTCCTGCGGCTGCTCTGTGGCCATTTTCTCTCCGTGCAGGGCAAGGGGCTGAGGAAAAAGGCCAGCAGGAGAGAGGGGTTACTGCCTGCACCCCAGGCAGGCGGCACGGCTGGGTGTCCTTGTCCTCTCCTGGGCTGCTGGAGCTGTCAGGGCGGAGGCCCCGCTCAGTTCCTGACATACAGCTCCAGCCTTGAGTTTCCTGGCTGGCTCTGATTAACAGCTGCCAGAGCATCTGCAGCCAGTGGAGCCGAGCTGCGGTTCAGCGTATGCTGCATCTGGTCTGAGCACAGCTCTGCCTGGATGGCTGGGGCTCCAGTGGACACACTCATAAACCAGGGCAGCGTTGGGCTGGCAGCTGTCCCAAGCTCAGCCAGCCAGCTTAAGTGAATGAGATTTTTAAAGCACAGTCTCTTTGGAACAGCCCCAGGAAAACCCTGCTTGGCGGGGAGGGGAGAGGCAGCTGCTAGAGGCATTTGAAAGAGGTGAGCCTCCCTCCAAATACACAAAACTTAACTGATGGGGGAATTCATGGGGAAAGCATACAGCAGCCTTCCTAAGGAAATACTCAGCCCAATCCTCTGAAAACCTGTCTGAGACACCACTTTGTGGGATAGCCTGTTCTTCCCTGGGCTATTACTGGGGCCGGAACACTGTCTCGTCAGCTGTAAAATCCCTTGAACTAAAGAAGTAAGAACACAAGCAATGCCAGACTCAATCAGCCCACAGGCCCTTCTACCCCAGGATCCTGTGTCTTACGGTGGCACAGAATGGAGGCTAAGGGGGAGAATGATTATGCTGGGCCTGTCCAGGTGGATCTCCCCCCTGCCCCTCTTCCCTTACAGCTTTCAGAATTTAGAGGCTGGGGGAGGCCTAATCTGGAGCTGAAGCCCTGAGTGTCTTGTTTCATTCATCCTGATGGATCTATCCTGAGTGAAATGGTCTAATACCCTTTTGAACCTGTTTAAACTGTTGGCCTCCACAACATCATGTGGCAGTGAGTTCCACAAGTTAATGACATGCTGTGTGAAAAAGAAGTAGCTCCTTCATCTGATCTCTGTAGCAGACTTCTAACTGTCTACATGGATCCAGCTGCTAGAGAGAGCAGAACAATATGGCCAGCACTGAATACAATTGCATAGCAGGGCACAGCTGAAATCCTCCTGGCGCAACCAGGAGACACTAACCTCAGTGTGGCAGTGACAAAGGGAACCAGGCAGCATGGTGGCTAGCTACTACGGTGCCATGAGTGATCTAAGAACCCAGGAGGAGGCTGCAGACAGACCCCCTGTCTGTGCTGTGCTGCCCTCCACATGGCTAAGCTCTTTTGCTGCATTTAAAAGGGGGGTTGCTGTCCACACCAGTGTTTAGGTCTTGGCATCATCTAGTGGTGATGTGACAGGACTGTGCTGTCAGGGAGAATTGCCCATCAGGGAGAATGTCCCAAGCTTTGTTGCTACTTGCTGAGGTGTCAGAAAGGTGCAAGTGTACTTTTGCTTGGTGCTTTTTTCCCCTGCTCTCCTTTTTAAACCTTAGGAGCAGTAACAATGGCAAGACACAGCCTCCATGCTTGGCTTGAGACCTTGTAGGATGGCAGTGCCGGGAAGTGATTTATGGCTTGGGATGTGTTTAAGAGAAGCTCATTAATCATCCAGGAGAAGCCTGGTGCAAAGCCCATTGAGATCACGTGAGGCTTTCCAAACTCAGCATGAGTTTGTGTGGGGGCAGGAGACAGGAAAAAGGAGGAGCTTTATACATATGCATGGGGGGAGCTCTATACATTGTGTGGGGGGAGCAGGAGGCCAGGGACTACACTGGGTGGTACCTCTATGTGTACTGTGGGGGCTTCTTATGTGAGGAGGTATTGGGGGAGCTGATGTCACAATTCCCATGGGGTGGGGAGCCCATCTACCTTAGTGTGAATGGGTTATGGGAGGGAAGGGGCCTGTGGCAGGAGTGGGCTCTGCACATGCAGTGCACTAGCTGGAGTTTGGTGGAAAGGCAGTAGTGTGAGAGAGATTTTGGAGGTGGGAAGCAGAAGACAGGGTGGGGGAGAATTTTTGTGGGAAGGCAGGAGATACAAGGATACCCTATAGTCCCAACAGGTACATTTCCCCATTCAGCTCACTCCCAAAGAACAGTCAGACCTAAACAGAAGGGAATGCAGCCCTCTAGGAAGGCACTCAACTGACAGGCAGATTTCCTGGACCTCAGGTGGATGCAATGAAATGTGTTACCCAGGGAACTTTCCAAGGCATGTGCATCTCACTAGGGGGGACCAGAAGGGTTTGGGGGAAACGGTGTTTCCCCTAGCGCCCGCTGGCATAACAAGGAGCAATGGGCACAAGTTGATGGAGGGGAGGTATAGATTGGACATCCGCAAAAACTACTTCACAGTTAGGGCGGCTAGGAGCTGGAACCAACTTCCAAGGGAAGTGGTGCTGGCCCCTACCCTGGGGGTCTTTAAGAAGAGGCTGGATGCCTACCTGGCTGGACTCATTTGAGTCCCGTTTCTCTTTTTGGGGTTTTTTGTTGTTCTCCCGCCCTGGCGGGGGGTCGGGCTAGAAGATCTACTAGGTCCCTTCCGACCCTTAATCTATGAATCTATGAATCTCTATAGCCCCACTGTGACCCTAATGGCTCCTGCTGGACTCATGTGCAGGCAAAACCTGACTTTTCCATTCATGCCTTCAGTTTTCACTGCTAAGGAATTTCTATGAAAACATCTTGGCACGTTTCTCATCCTCAGGCTGAGCTAGATGCAATGTCACAGGGTTGTAATGTGTTTATCAGGGATTGGCGGAGCTCTGACAAACACAATACACATTTATTTGCAAGCTCTTAAAAAGCAAATGGAAATGTCTACCTAATTCTCCACCCTTAAACCACAGAAAGCTTTTCTGTATTCTCACATGTTTCTGTTATGCTCTTATACCCAGGCCCTAAGACATCAGTAGGACAGAGGTGCCTAGCACCTTTGAGGATCTGGGCTGGGGTCCTTGTTCTGTCTTTCATATATGTCTAGATTTGCTGTTACAGCCAACGGGGAGTTTGAGGTCTTGAAGGAGTGCAGTGCCAGTTACAAAGGAGCATCTGAAAGGTGTGAGACACACCTTGTGGTAAGAATCCCACCTTGGGCCCTTGGAGGACTCTGCAAGTATTAGGAAATATAGGTTCAAGAAGGGAAGAGACGGGCTATACTGCATAAAATTGTGGCTTTGCTCAGGAATCCTGAGTCTAGGTTTTGCACACAGACTCTGACCCCTACCTAGAGCTGACTTCTCCCCAGAGATGGGGTAGTCATGCCCATCATGCCTCCTTGATCCTTGCTGGTCCCATGGAATGACTGAGTGAAGTTTAGGGTCTTGTAAATGGAGCAGTGCATCCTCAAGGGGAAGGGTAGTTAATAATTCAGAATGGGTGAAGGAAGGGTGAATCAGACTCTTACAAATCACTTAGATTAGGGTTTTCCCCCCTGGTAGTTAGCATTTCTCCCAAATACAAAACCCTGAGTTCCCAAGGGCCACAAATGGGGAAGAATGATGTGCCCAGGAGAGCAAGGGGTGTACAGCTTAAGTCTTTGTAGCCTTCAGAGTGGCTACAGCATTAACAGGGGTTGGCAACATACAGCCTATAAGCCAGATCTGGCCCACAGAGCCATTTTATCTGGTTCACAGAACTGGAGGGTCTCTGGTAGTGTTTTGGCAGCAGGGGGCTTCTGCATGGGGCTTCAGTGGCAGGGGACTTTGCCTGGATGGCAGAGTAAAGCAGCAGCAGTACTAAGGGGGGAAGGGACGGTAATATAGCTGCAGCTCAGACTGCAATGGCATGGGCCAGGTTGGATCTTGTAGTCAGAGCTAAGCTCCATTAAAGCAGTCCCCTGCTCCAAAACCCGGCCAAGTCCTGCTCCACGACTGACACTATGACATGAATGACAGCATGTGTGCTTGTGCTGTCCATGGATGTGGTGCTGTGGAGGTAGAAACTCAGTCATTCCTGAACTTTCTAAAAACCCACCATGCAATTAAGATCTGGTTCTAAGTAGTTATAAATGGCAGAAAGTTGTGAGATCAGCATCACTCCTCATGCCATTCCTTATAACTGGCTCTTGCTGGGAATGCTGGCCTTTTTCAGTGGACCTTAAAATGTGACCCACAGAATCTCTGTTTTCTTTTCCCAGAGGGCTTGCTACAAACCACCAGGGCCACAAACCTCCAGATCTATTCTCTCAAGAGTCAGGGCCATGTTTTCACAAGGGACATGGTCAAAAGTCTCATTCTCAACCAGCACTTGGGTGCCAGAGCCTTGCTGCCAGCCAGTGGGACTTGGGCCTATTACCCAAGCATTTCTGAAAGTGGGAATAAGGTTCTTGAGTTATGTAGGTGCTTTTAAAAACATTACCCCACTTTTTAGCGTACCTGTGCAGTACAGTCACAGGTGTGATTGCTGGAAGGATACACTTGCACTGGTTTTAATCATCGGGTGCGTGGACTGCTAGTAGAGCAGTGACAGGATTAGCCACCCAAGCATTTGCCTGGCTTTCTGACATGAAGAGGTCTCATAGCCTATGCCACTCTCCATACCAAAAGCTAGCTAATTTTCAATTAACCCCCCAAAGTGGCAGACAGACCCTGAATGCATTCTGAACTCTGTCCTCACAACAAACATTATGGACATGCCCATTGGCACAGCTTCTACTGAAAACTGCATTTGCTAGTAAAATAACCATTTGGCAATATGGAAAGTGGTTTCAAATAGGCCTGCATGCTAGTTGTGCAATGTTCGATAATGAATTACTCATTTGCTAAGCACTGGCTGTGATACGTGATGTTTAAACACACAGCTGCTTTCATGTGCCTGTGACAGTCATCGCCTACATCCCTCCGGGGATGCGCCATAGTGTGACCACTTTGTTAATCCTTGGTAGGAAACAAAGACCTGGGTGAACAAACAACTTGCTTATTTCTGCCTTTTCAAGCTATCCTTGTAACCTAACGTCATTACTTGCAAAAACTCAGGAACTGCCCCACCCTACCCTGCTGTTTTGTAGTCACATACATGCACGCATACACTACACTAACAGTGACATGCAGAGCTAGGGACATGATTTCACAAGCATTTTCCAGCCACAGGAAAGACAGCGTCCTACACAGTGTGACTGTTGAGCTTTTTGCACAGTGTGACTGTTGAGCTTTTTGCACAGGGCACCCATCACCTGCAAACCCCTGTGACACATGCCGAGTGCTTAGCAGGCACACAGACTGACTTGGGCAGGAGAAATGTTGTGCCCAATGACCCAGACCCAGCTTCTCAAAATCAGGGATTTAGCATGGGATTTAAGCAGCAGAATAAACCACCTCTGAGTGGACGGTGATGGATAGGGATGCACACATGGGGATAGGAAGGCACTGAGCACAGGCCAGGCTGGAGTATAGGCTGGACACTTTCTGCATGTTCATAGGGGCAGTGCACACTTGGGAGAAGTGCTGGTGGTCTGAAGACATCTTGTTGCCATGGGAAAGCCTTCAATATTCCATGTATCAAGTGCTGAAGGCCGGAGCCCCAGTCTCTGCACAGCCCCTTCACACAGCACAGACAGCCCCAAGGCTAGTTTAATTGTCCCCTTGGTGTCTCCATTGGTGTGGAAGGATCACTGGGTGATGTGGGTGGTGGCTGGCTCTACACCATCTCCCCTCCACAGCTCCCACTGTAAGGGTCCAGCAGGGGAAGGAAGCTGCTTTACATTGTATCACAGGTGAATTTGGCCTCACCAGGCTGCCTGGATATAGTGTTGGAAAACCAAAGCAACATTTTTCTTCCCATCTCCCCAGGCAGGAAGTGATATCTCCTGTCTATCTGTCCTTGTACCCGCACTGCTATAGTCCCTGACCCCCCACAATATTTAATGTGTTTTCCTCACAATACCCTTTTGAGGCTGACTAATGCTATAAGCCCATTTCACAGATGGGAAATGAGGCACCGAGTAGACTAATTGACTTGCTCAAGGCCACACAGGGAGCCTGCGGCAGAGAAGGGAACCAGTCTGAAGTCTTCTGAGTTCCAAACTAACCCTTGCCCCTGCACCATCTTTCCTCCACCTCCGGTCCTGGATCCTTCTGTTTTATGGCCTCTGTAACCCCCTTCCCACATAACCATAGCTCTGACCACCCTGTCTTCATCTGCATCTGTTCTCCCCTTGCTTTGGGATTCTCCAGCTCTCTAAAGAGGCTGCAGGGAAGATCCTATGGACAGGAAGGTGGTGTACCATAAAGATATGCCAGGACCTCCTTTCCCCCTGTGCTTGCCATTTGCTTAGTTGGGTTGTGTCACTGTTCCACGGTATCTGGCTGGGCCAGTCTGGGAACACAGTAGGCGGCTGGACAGGGCAGGTCTTATGAGTTTGTCAACTATGAGCATGCATTGGGCAAGCTGGTGATGTGTATGATATGTGCTGGCCACCAGCTCACGCCTCCCTCAACTTCTTCACCTTCTTTCCTCCCACGGCCCCTGCCCTTCTCTCCCTCCCAAAACATGGATGCTTTTTCATCTGCTTCCTTTCCGGTGCCCACGTCTCTTCTCAGGCCACACCCTGTCCCCTCCCCAGCCTGAGTCACCTCCTGCTCTGTGTTCAGGTCTCATCTGTAACAACCCTGCTGATCAGCACTAATCTGCCTCTGTCACAGCTTTCCCACCATTCCCAGACTGGGTCTTGTGCCATACACTGAATGCAT